TAAAGATATAAGCACAGTTGGAGAATGACTAAACAAAGGGAGGAAGGTGCAGTGAAGCTTCCGACCAAAATAAATGTGTTTTACATGTATGTCAATGTCGGGTATATAATTTTTATACATTGATAAATTTGATCTTACTTTATCAGCAATCTATGTAATTTAATTCTAAAAATAAAAGAAAAAATTAGGCAAATACAATCAATCATTATTGCCATTCACATCAGCAACACTTTCTAAATATCGAAAATCATTCAGTATTTGGTGGTGCAATAATTAAGTGGTAACCAAAAGTGATGAGCTAAAAACAACCTATGCATTAGCTGGTTTGGTTTGGTGTTGGTATTGGAGACAGATACACATGGTGAAGCAATGGAGTGATTGATAGATAGTGTTGTGTGTACCTTGGCTTCTTGCATGCATAACCTTTTTCCCTCGTTTCCAAAATCAGAGATACCCTAGGGTTTTCAGTTTTTAGGAACATTTAACGGAAAAAAAATTGGCTTCAACAGAAAAGACAAGGGTATGTTTCTTATCCTTGGTTCCACTTTCTTTTAATTTTTAATATTACTTTTTCTTTTGTCTTCTTTCATTAATTTTTATTTTAAGTAATAATGGAGTCATTAAATTGCCTTGTGCGAAATACGTGAAAGGAATATATGCAAAAAGGATTTTATTCTATTTAAAAAAATAAAAAATATTATACTGTTTGACATAACATTTATTTATATCAAATTTGATGGTATTTTGATTTGGGACAGACTGAAGTATATTCACAAAATTATCTAATAATTGACTAAACTATTTGATGGTAAATTATGATGTAAAATCATATTACTTACCTAAATTATTTATAATCATGTGATAATAGAAATTAAAAGAGATTCCTTAAAATTGTGAATTATTTGAGACAATCTTCATACAAGAAAATCGCATATTTCTAACGGATTTTTACCAATGAATTTGTAGCCATAAAAAAATAAGTTATTATTGATGGATATAAAGTATTTGTGGAATTTGGTCTTATCGATATATCCATCGGTAAATTAATAATTAGTTACAGACGGATATATCTGATAATCTGTCGATAAATTAACAATTAATTTCAGACAAATATATCCATCGGTAAATTAGCAATTAGTTACCGACGGATATATCTGTCGATAAAATTATATAATAATTACTTAATTTTAAATATATTCTAATAAATTAATTATTCATCTAATTAAAAAATTAAATATTTTTTATTTAATAATTTAATTTAATCATAATTAGATTAATTTATAATAATTTATTAAATTAAATAATTTTTAAAAATAAATATATAAATATATAAATATATTATATTTATATATTTACATGGATATACATTTATTTGTATATAAATATAATTTATTTATAAATTATTTTCAAAAAATTGTAGTAGCTTAGTGATTGGAGTATCGACCTTTAACTCTAAGATCTTGGATTCAAAACTATAAAAATATAATGGAGGAAATAAATAATAAAAATATTTTCGATAAATTTTTATCCGTCTATAATTTCGTATAACATTTGCCGACAAATTTTAACCGTCGTTATTTCTAGTATTTCTTATAGTACCTAAAAAAACACAAGTATCATTTATCCGGGAGGAAAATCATATGAAGATTCCTCATAAAAATCTCACCCCTAAAAAGGAAGTCAACATAAAACAGAATAAGGCTATATAACTTATAATACACAAACAACGAAATTTGAGTGTTTTTATTAGGGTTCCCAGAAGCAATCTGGAAACTTTGTCTAGGACAAATATTATTAAGGTTGTTTTCTCATAATTGTTTTATTTTTTCAAAATAAAAATATAGCTAATTAACTACTTCAAAAGAATTTTTTTTGGGAGAAGTTAATCTTATTTGATGAAATGCTGTAAATTGTAAAGTGGACAATTTTTAAATGATATTTTAATTATATTTTGCGTCTTAAATGGTAGGAATTAATCACTACAGAGATTGAGTTAATTGAATTAAAAAGGTTTCTTTAGTAATGAAAAAATCTAAATAATTTACATGAAGTCTTAAGTTTATATTCTATATTCCAAAAGGAAATATTCAATCAGTCTATTGCATGGTAAGATCTTGATTCCTTGTACGAGTCGTGCAAAAAATTTCTCTTATCGATATCTAAATATTGGAGGTAGATATTCTTGATTAACATCATTTTCAAAAACTAAAATAAATGGAAATATAAGTCCCTATGACTCCAAATCTAACTCAAGTATTAATAGAATAATTGTGTAGTGTAAAATTTTTAGAAGCATCAATTTTAATTCAAAATCTTGATATCAATACAAGAAAATTATTAATTATCAATGGATAAATATCAACGACTATATAGTCATCGAAAAATAAGTGATTACTAACAAAAATTATCGACAAAAATTAACGAGTGATTACTGACGGAAATTATCGATGGATATATCTATCGATAAATTAACAATTAGTTTTTGATGATTATATTTGTCGGTAAATTAACAATTATCCATCGGTAAATTAACAATTAGTAATCAACGATATATCTATCGGTAAATATTTAAAATATATAAATATATCAAAATATATAAATATATTTATATATTTTATATTTATATATATGTACACATATATATATAAATATAATTTATTTATAAGTTATTATCAAAAAATCCTAATAATTTAATGATTAGAGTATCAGTTTTCAATTATAAGATAATGTGTTCAAAAATATAATAAATAAATAATTTATCAGATAATTATCAACTGTTTCTGACGGATTTTTGTCGTAAGCGGAATGCATCATATACAAAAGAGAGAAACCATGGTGAACGAGAGAGAAGAGTAATACATCATGCACAAAAGAGAGAAACCATTGTGAATGAGACAGAAGAGTAAAAACTAAATTTACTCCAAATTTAGATGAGTGTAGTGGAAAATGAATTTATTCACGAATTAACTTCTAAACGTACCCTTAACTTATAAATTCATCCTAGGTTTGATAATGATAAAATAAACTGATTTAATTATAGGATTTTTATTATAATTATTATTAAGAGTAACAAATATTTTTCATTTATAATTATGAGTATTTACTGTATAATTTGATTTAATTTTATATAAAAATAACCTGAATCAAATATAAAATTTAAATATAGTTGAAAGTTTAATTCGATTTTAGTTTAAAAAAATCCAGAAACTTATTGATGCTTATTCTTGGTATTAATTTCCAGAAAAGTGAAAGCTTGCAAATGTTAGTTTTATAATTGGTGTGCGTAAACTTGCAGCTTGTATTAGCCAATTGTCAATAGGATTTGATTTCAATTTGGTAGATGGGTTGAGAAGTACCTTTTGTTCTATAACAAATCATCTTTTGCTTGTATAAAAGGTACAAGTTTAATTATTATTATCTAAAGAAAAGTTATTCCAACACACCCAAATCTTTGTACCAGTTTACGAGAGAAAAGTTTTTTGTTATAATTTTACTGGTTGTTAATGGACTAAAAGCCAAATAATGCATTATTTTAGTCCAGTACTAAACAATATAAAATTGGTACTTTTTCTTTAAAAAAAAAAAAAAAAGGTGTGATATACACAACCTAAGCTTCTAAGAACGTACTCTAAAATTCTCTTTTAGGGAGCGTCAAGATTTTAACTGTCACTAAATCCTATACCAAGTGATTAAACGGGTTGACACAACTTAAAGTGGTTAAAAATTTAGAACAAAATTTTATGACTTATTATAATTCAAATTTTCTAGACCAAGTGATTAAAGTAGTTAACACAATTTAAATGGTTAAAAATTTAGCACAATTTTTACGATTTATTATAATTCATATTTTCTTGAAACTATTTTGTTTGCTTGAGGATATAATATATTAGAGCATTTTAACAGTAACAAATTTAATTGTAAGAGTGTAAACATACTTTCAATTTTCTTATATCGATCTTTCCATAAACACTACTTTTCTTATTTTATCGAGATATCTTTTAAATATAAAATTATAATAAACTAAAATTTTAAAACAAAAAATATATAATACGTGATAATAGACTTAACAATTTTATTATAATAAATATATATTTAAGACATTCTTATTTTTAAATGATCAATTAATTATAATTAAATTGAATTATTTATATACAAGACCACTCCAAATAAGTCTTCATTAGTCATAATCTCAACATGTCACGTACAAAATAATATCTAAATACGTAATGTTGTAATGGGAGTGAGTGCTTTCTTATCTTACCATAATTCCAAAAAATATCCTAAATAAAAAATAATAATTTATAATTGGTAAAAAATAGAAATTTATAATGAAAACCTTAATTATATACCAAGCAAACACTCTCTTCTATATTAACTTTTATTAACTACATAATATTTTTTTTGTTAAAATAAAAAAATATAGATGATAATGTACAAGTAAAAGATCATTCACTAATTAAAGTTAAACTATTTTAAAATATTTAGTAATAAATAATATTTTCCTATGAATAAGTACGGGCAAATAATAATATTAGTAACAAAAATGATAGATAGAGATCTCTTTTTCTGTTTATATCTATTCTATAACACATTTTAATAATATAATAAATAATATTTTTTATAAATATAATAATTATATTATTAAAACGAAATGTAAAATGCTACAAGTTCCTATAATCCGAACACACATGAGAAATGATTGCGATTATGATTAAACTCGCGACGCTTAAAAGAGGAGAAGGGCATTTTCCACGAAGGAGACGAGTGTTTCAACTGTCCAATGAAAAAGGGTGCGTCGTGTCGCAACGAAAGCCGCAAGAAACTACGCAACACGAAAATACACTCCAAACTATTTACCGTACCTATTCGTTTCTTCTTCATCTTCTCTTCCTCCTTATATAATTCCCCCACCTTATCACTCTCTTCAACCCCTCCTGTTCACAATTCTTCTCTCATAAGCCACCACCTTTCTCTCACTTTTCTTGTATTTTCCTTCAACCATGGAACTTGATCATGGTTTCGACTTCGAGGACTGTTTCCCTTCCATGATAGCAAGGCTAGGCGCAGAAGGGTTCATTGGGGAACTCTGCAACGGGTTTCGTTTGCTCATGGATGTGAACATGGGGCTCATCACGTTTGAGAGCCTGAAGGTCAGCACCTACTTGCTTGGTTTGGAGGTGAGGGATGATGAGTTGTTGTGCATGCTCATGGAGGGTGATTTGGATGGAGATGGGGCTCTTAACCAGATGGAGTTTTGCATTCTCATGTTTAGGTTGAGTCCTTCCTTGATGGATATGCAAGGTAATGTGGATCAAGTGCATGCTAGTGTAATATAACGTTGGAGATAGTGTAATTAATTTATCTTCTATAACCCACTTTTCTGTTTCTTCTAGCAATAACAATGCCATCCTTGTAAGAGATGAGAAGTCATTCCATGGTCCAGAATCACTATGTGTCTATAGTCTCGGTTAATTTTTATGTTATACAAATCAAACTAAGATTGACCAAGATTATAAACATGTATCTATTGGTATAAGATCATGGAATAATTTCTAAAATGAGAGAGAGAATATTGCAGTAGCTGTATCTGTAATTCAATGACTAAGCCTACTGTTTTCTGTGACTACATTTCTTTATTTCGTTGAAACTTGCTTTATGTTTATGCTTTATGTGTCATCTAATTTATATATAGATATATACTTCTTTTCTCAGATTATGCTTCTGGTAGTTTTTTCACGTTATCTCTTCCCTTTTTCTTGCCTTTTACTTCCCAAATTTCAAGGGATCCAAGACTATAAAAAGGAAAAGAGTATTGCACGTTTATGTAGACAATGACTTGAGTAATATAAGAGAATTTCTTAGTTGAAGCTTTGTTATTTCAGAGAGTAGAGAGTGTGAGTATGTGTGTGAGAGAGTGAGAGAAGAATATTGCAGAAGCACTTGAATACGTGTAATTCAATGACAAAAGCTTCTCTTAGCTGTGACTACAGCATTTCTGTGGTTAGGTATAGGTGATGGTACTTTGTTGCTATAACTGCTGTATCTATTATGTGTGTGTACTTTGCTATGTGTACACACCAATTTGCATATGCATATATGTACTTCTTGTTCTTGATCAAGTTAGGTGTGAAAATAACTCAAGGTAAGGTAGTCATTTCACGTTTCCTTTACTGTCTCTTTCTTTTACATATCAAATTTCAAGGGAGCGGAAAGTTTCATGCTGGAAGTACAGGATTAATATGAAGGCAATCTGAATTTAAGTTGCATTGTTACTGTGACAGAACTTGTAAATTTTGTAAATATGGCAAAATGAATTACGTTTTTGAATAATAAACTAAAATTTAATTGAAATGATATTCAAAATTCTGCTGCTGATATATATATATATATATATATATATATATATATAGTGATGTGTGGCCATTAAGTTTGTCTTGTTTTGATTGTTTTGGGTATGTCACTATCAAAAAAGCAGAGCATAAAGATACTTGACACCTTTAGGTTACTTTCGTAATTGTGAAGTTTCTTTATATTTAAGCCACTTCCTATGGTAGTGGGACACGTGAAACAAATTGAATACATTTGTTTTTTACTTTTTGGCCTAAAGAATGATTATGCCATATCTTTTTCCACCTTACCAGTACCTTCATGCACGTAAATAACTAGACAATTCTTTTTGTAACCTCACAGACTTCAAACATTATAATATAATATTAGGATAAAATGTTTTGTGTTGTTACAAAATTTTAAATATATTTTCTTAAAAAAAAATCTAAATTGTTGACAAAAACTGATCTGTATATGTGAATTTTATAATTAGAGAAGAAGATTCGAAGGAAGTCTCTCATTATTATCTAGTCTCAATAATCTGAAGTTGAACAATTAATCTAACAAAAAATTGTACGTTTTAAACTATACTGGTTCAACAATATCAACCTCAAACTAAAATTAAATATAAACAATAAAATCTAGTTGAAAACGTGTAAATATTATATATTTAACATAGTTTTATATTTATCAATTATGATCTAGTTTCATATAGAAATGTTTATGTATTCTTATAATATTGAGAATTCAAGTGTGAGTTTAAAATCTCACATTAGATAGAAATAGAAAAATTGAGTAACTTATAAGTGAGAAAGACACGTAATCTATTGTCTTAAGGTTTTGGATTGAAAGTGGTATTATATTTTTTTATATGGTTGACTTATGACCCATTTTGAGAATCTCCCTGCTCTTAGTCCCCTCCCTCAAAAATACCTAACAATGGTATTAATTTGTGATAATCTCTTTGCTTGTTAGCCCCTCCGTCAAAAATACCTAACATTGGTATCGGAGCATGGTAATGCTTTTGTTTTCTTAACCTAAATTTAATTTTTTAAAGTTATTTAAAAAATATATATATATATATATATATATATATATATATATATATAAATAACTTTTATTATATCTAGAAACAAGTATATCTGGAGCTCTTGTTTATTAAGTTTTTATTGTGTTTTTTCCTTCATTTTACTTAATTTTTGTTCTCTTAATTTTATTTCAAAAACTTTTTATTGTTGGTTTATTTTTTAGTTTTCCTACAGTGGATATTTCTCTATTTTTTAATTAATTTTTGTTGTCCGTCGATTGTTATATGTTTTAAATATTATTAAAATAAAAATATTATAATTATTTTAAATATTATGGGTTATTATTAAATAATAATTAAATGTAGTCTAACTCTCATTAGTTTAATTATAAATATTTTATGATTAATAATGATGTTAGGATAAGTTAGGTGATTAGTTATGAATAAATTATTCATATCTCTTTAGAATATATCTAATATTTTAATGTGAGTTTCAGTGTGAGAATTACTGAAAACAAATAATAAAGAATTCTAAACAGTTTTAAGTAAATCTAAATGCTTACAATGATTTATATAAAAGGTTGTCATGTCAATATGATGCTCTCTCTCAAAATGCTTCCAATGAATTCATGTTTTAGTATTCTAATAGTTCAAAAGGTGAAAACGTCAACATGCACTTGAAGTCGTGATATCAAATGAGTGCTAACAGAAGACATTGACGAGGGTTAGGTGAATAGTTTTGTTAATTGCCTCTATTCAATGTATATAATTGCATTCAAACAACATTGTTTTCAAAGATATCATTGCAAGAAGAGTTTTTCTATTTCACTTTTTATTGCTTTATAAATAATCTAATTCATCCTATTATCATGATTATAAATTCTCCACAAAATATATAATTATTCTTATTGTCTTTGTCTATTTAAAAAATAGACTTCATATTCATGTTTTAGTCAGACAAATTTCTACATATTTGATTTAAAGATTAAACAGTATATATGTAATTCTTTTTTCTATTTTGAGAAATTTTTATAATAAAAAAAAAACTAGTTGAGAAACTAAAAATATATTTAAAATAAGATTATAATATTTGTTAAATAGGAGTGGTTCCACGAGTTAATCACATGGTTTTGGTCCTCAACTTGCCATCACAAAAGTGGGTTTCGAGCGTGACTCCCACCAAACAAACAGGACTGATCTGTCAATTTTAAAATACTTCAAAATAAAAATAACTTAAATAGATATTAAAAAAACAAATAGTGTTATAAATATAAAATCACACAAATAATAAGTTATAACTTCATTTCAATGGTTATTGCTTGACAACATATATAATATTTTTTGTTTGGTATTTAATACATATTGGGGCAGTAAATATTACTTATACACTAAAAGAAAAATCATAATTACCGATGGTCACAATCCGTCGGTAAGTAACAAATTCCGTCGGTAAATATATATTACCGACGGATTATCGACGGTCCTAAATCCGTCAGTAATAGTGTTGTCGGTAAAATTTATTGACGGATTTTGCTAGTCCGTCGGTATCTATGACATTTACCGAAGGATAATCCGTTGGTAAATACCCATTACATTACCGACGGATTATCCTTCGGTAAATGTCATAGATACTTACCGACGAATTATCCTTCGGTAAATGTCATAGATACTTACCGGCGGAAATATCCGTCGGTAAATGTCATAGATACTTACCGACGGATTTTCGTCAGTAATTACCAATTATGCACAAATCTTACCGACGAATTATCCGTCGGTAAATCCGTCGATAAAACCACCTCTGTTTCCAGAGCAGGTTATTTTTTTTTCATCTCATATAACCTGTAAAATAAGATTCAATCCAGTCCAATTCAATAATATATTCAACAATTCAATTAAACATAAATCTAACTCCCCTTAATCATAAGTAAATTCAAATGTACTGTAATTTATGCATAATGAAACATAATGTATAATCCTAAAAAGAGTATCAACATACAAGTAGAATTGAAATATTATTCTATAGATGTTTGTATAACACTTAATAATGAGAATAATCAGGAGAATGATGTTCTGGTATGTTGTCGTCATGTGGTGGGTTATCTTGTTGCTCTTCAATCAATTGCTGTTGTTGGGGTTGTTGTTCATCATCTGCTTCACTATGTTGATGCAGTTGACGAAGAGATTGTGCACTGGGGGTAGAAGATGACCGACAAGGGATTGAAACTCTCTGAATTGGTGCTCTAGTCATTCATTTTGCTCCCTTGTTCGACGTATTTCTTCTTCTTGTACAGACAATCGTTGTCTCAATTGATTAATCTCTTCTAAGTCAACTGAGGGGCTGAATGCTTGAGTTTGATGCTTTAAGCTATCTGAACCACCCTGATAGCCATCAGCAAGTTGTCTAGCTCCATACAATCTTCCTTCATTCTTACCTCCAACTGTGCCCACCCAACAACGGGACCTTATAACTTCATCATGTGCAGTATCAGCAGGAGTGGACTCAGGTTCGCCAACACAAGATCCAGCAGATGACCTAGCTTGTGAAAGTCTAGTTTCAAATTCCTCCTATTAGTAGAAACAAATCAAATTATTAACATGATTATTAACTTTACATAATATACAAAGTTTAACATGAAGGTTCTCACGTGTGTCTTCCTAGATCTTTCATCAACATATTGACCCGTCTTCCTCCTAATATGAGTCTGTTGGAAGATCTCATCAATAAAAACTGATCTTCCAAGTTCCTTTGCCTACGTTACATAAACAATTTGAGATATAAAACCCAATAAATTTTTCAAAATCGTAAATGTATGATATAAAGACTTACCATACGTATGGCATGCTCATGTGTGCTGATAGAGCCACCTATGTGAAGGCTCCCACCCTTTTCAGATGCCCTATTTTTTTAGGCTTGTGCAGATTTGGACCGATACATTGGTGAGTTCCAATGTGCTATCAAACTGCTCCAAACGTGATTTCCAA